ACATTTTGCCCACGGCAATTAAGATTCCCTACCACCCATTTGTAAAAAAATGTATGGTGTCAAAGAAAAATTTAGCGATCGGTGATTGGTGTATTTGTTTTGCAGGTGTGTGCTCAAGTGATAATGAACAAACATTTTGTCACCTTTAATAATTTTGTAATTGGTCGTAAACTGTTCATCTTTGCAATGTGATTAGTTGAAATTGAAATCGTATCTAGAGCTGTGATTGGATGTCAGAATTTTGATTTTTGAATTTGAAATTTAACGATAATGAATAAATCTTTTTGTGTAATCTTAGTCTTGTAAGAAATTTAGACATTTATAGAAAAAAACACTAACTTAAGTGCAATCCTACTGTTACTGAATGCGTATTGGGATAAATTTTTGATTTCCGATCAACAATTTTAACGTAACGAGTACTTATATATATCACATAAAAAGAAAGTTTTTGGAAAAAAGCAACTGAAAACCGGTTTGAATATTTGATAATAGTGATTACTGAGTAAGGTCGGTAGTCAAATCTTTAATACCAAATTAATAAACAAATTATCACTAAAGTGTATGCATAGGTTTTTTGGTAACACATGGTCTGTTAGTTCGAGAAACAAATCAACATATTAATAAATCATCATGATAACTTACTAGTTGCAATATTTATGATTCAGGTGAAGCAACCGTAGACCATCATTGAATGAACTGACTTTGACAGTATATGAATGTAGTAATAAATTTAACCGAAATAGGCACTTAATATTTAGTGAACTTTTTTTTGTAAATGTTCATTCTTAATGAGAATTAGAAAACGTTAGATTTAAATGTGGTTAATTTTAAAAGTCCATTGAAAGGGTTTATTGTGTTCACTTGTAAATTATTTGTAGTTCTGTATTTTAAAATTAATTTTTTGGTCGTAATAAAAACTAGTGTGTTTAATCAGTCATGTGTGAATATTGTTAACCGCCGTAATATGAAACCTGAATTATCTAGACATTATGAATGTAACCATTTTTGACAAGCATTTGAAATATCAGTTTCATGAAGTGTAAATGAACAAGCCTACGTCGTCTGACTGACTCAACAAATATCTATCGACTTTAAACGTATAAATATGAATAAGGTCAACTGTATCAATGAACATTTACAATTCTATTATTATTTATTTTCCTTATTATTATTATTATTATTATTATTATTATTATTATTATTATGTCAATTGACAAGATTCAATTGTCATACTATGCATTTCATTGACACAAAATTCTTTGCATTTTAAATTTTCCTATAATGCTCTTCCACTTATTGTGACTGAACACTGTACTGCAAATAATCCAGACCTTTATTGAATGACCTTTGTAATTTGCAAATGTTACAATTTGTAATTTATATATATATGTCGTAACAGATGTAAACGTTCACCATTGTTAATACATTACATTGTCAAATTCATTAATGACATGACATATTTTTGGCCTTTATAAAATATGGAAATTATGGACTTATAACTGTATAGTGTGATTGTACCAGTAATTAATAGTTATATGGGTGTGCAAATGAATACGTTGATATAATCAGTGGTTATGAATAACAATGAAGGCTTAGTTGACGATCGGACTTAATTCATACGTACGCTTAGTTCTGGTTTCAGGTACTATTAATATAAAACTAGAATATGAAATTCTTGCATTTTGTATTCATGAAACGGATAATATTCTCATTTCTTTTAACACTTACTATATGACCTTTTAATCGGATTACTAATTTCAATGATGACGGCTTCAACTTGTTTTATAATGTCAGTATCTTATTCATAAGGAAGATATTTTTCTCAATTTTGTTTACTTCTCTATGAGCTTTAATCACATTCATCTTTGTAACTATCTTATTATATTCACTACTAAATTTATTCACCTAACGACAAAATAACGATTTTCACTATATTAAAATATTCCTATTAAAATGTACTAGTAATAGATAGTTTACAAATATGTTACTAAGACATGAACGGTAATCACATTATTTTACATCTAAAATTATTAGATAAGTGTTCATAAAATGACAAAATCTTGTCTGCTTTCTTAACCTTTATATGTATTATACATTAGAAACAAGTTTACGAATACATGAGCGATAATCGCTTATCGATTATTAATATCTAAGGTATATCGAAATGCATTCGACATTAAAAAGTGCTTAATCACTTGACCTTTGCCAAAGACAAAAACAATATTGGGAAAAATGCCTTTAAATCAATTTGTGGGTGGCCCTGAAAAGGGCCTTTAATCGTTCTCGCGGTGGGACGTCCAAACTATTAGTTGGTAATGGCGCCACACATCGGACAGTGTACTGCTCGTACGTTCGGTGATGGGTCATAAGCACAGAATCTATGAAACATAGCTTCACAAGGACAGAAAACCCAACCCACTTCATCACCAGTTTCATAGGGCGGCTGTGCAAGATTACAGATGTCACACAAACGGTTCTCTTCATCTTCTTCATTTTGGATGTCCCGTTCTGTTAACTCTTCTGAGTTTATAGAAACTACGTCATCCTCGTCGTTACTTAACGTTTCATCCAAATCGACATTTCCTCGATGCATCAACGGCGTTGTAAAGTTCCTGTTGCGTCCACAGCCGTGAATAAGTCAGCAGACATTACAAACTCCGTCAAAGGAGTGCGCAAGTGCCGCCTCAGTACCTGACATGCAGCTGGTGTCAGTCGTTCCTGAAGTCCACGCATTGCTGGCTCTTGGCCGATGTTGGCTTTTACCCGGCAATCTGATGTATATTTCTGTAATCTTGCTTCCATCCAATATCCAACGCGAAGTAGCACACTAAATATAGATCTCAGCACAGGTGTTTTTCGACTCAGTTGATGCATCTTCAAAATTCGGTGACTTGTCTCAACAAAGTTCGTATTATTGAGTTGAAGTAGCGTTGCTGATGGTCGAAAAGCTGTAGACCATTTGTGTAAGTGGTCTCTGACATATCGGGCAAACGTTCCGTCCGATATTTCGATCAAGGATAATACATTGTTAAAACTACAAAATAATGTTATGTTGCTTTTGATTTACCTTTCAACCGTTTGAGTAAACATCAGGCGAAAAAATAGTTGTATCACTTCTGATCGTACCCTCTACAATTAAGGTTACTGGGTTAATGTTAATGAACGAAACACTTACCCTCTTTATAACATTGCGAACAAGGTGGACGCGACACAAGATATGGTGAGCATTGGGATACACCTGCATGATGGCAGCAGCTATTGCAGGTGAATCATCTGTCACAATGCCTACCACCTGTCGACTGTTGGTTAACCCTTGGAAGAACGACAGGAATCGAGAAATCAAAGTCGATGTTTCGCGACTTATAAATGCAATACAAACGGGTATCGCCTTCAAATTCATATCCAGGGCTACGACCTGATATAAATAGATATTCTCGTTATTCGTCTTGTATGTTCCGTCCAAACCAATAACATCACCGAAACGGTCTGCAAAAATCTTTTGATCACCAGTGCTGAAGAAAAAGTACGATAGACAGTTCTCATCGTCTAATTCGTATTCGCATCGCCCACCCAAAGATGTTATGTGCGCTTTCAATTTCCCGTAATCACCTATCGTTTACATTATAAATTGGCAAATGGCTTACCAGGAATGTTCGCCTGTGAGAACACTTTGTACCGCATATTATAGATATCTTGATCAGTCAGTAGTTTCCCATAAGAATGGTAAGCATAATTCTTAATGTGGAATGAAGCAGTACCAGATATTAGCAGCGGTCGCACATTTTCAAACTGGGCCTCTGTTAACCTGCGCACCCATGAATTTCCTTGGTACCTTAGGGAATTGCACTCGTGATTGTGATGCACATTCCCACGTACAACAGTCCAGTAGCCGTCGATAATCTTACAATACATGAAGGCCGGACATTCAGTGTTCATGGAAGCCCTTCATGACAAAAAATGTTAATAACATTTATAAAATTACCTCCTCCGTCTAATCCGCTGTGACGAACCGCTAGATGTTATACGGCCATGTCTCCAGCACACAAATTTAATGTACGAGTTTTCATTTCTGCACAAATGCGAATCTCGAACTACATAATGACAGTAAGTTGATCTTTCATAATTTGTGATAGCGGACTTCAACGCTTCAATCGATGGGAACGCAACGAGAAACAACGTTGTCAAAAAGACTTCCTCTATTTCTGTTACGTGAGAAACAACAGCGCTTGTACTAGGCACGTTACTGTCCTCCATAATGATGATTAAAATGTACTTCGTCGACAAGTACTGATGTTTTATAGCAATCCGACAAAACATAACTAACAAATTAAAAACGAACTTCAAAACTAGCCATTTCATTGGACGAAACGGGATGAAAAATATTGCAATTTTGGGTTGAAAAAACATTTTTAAAAAGGGTGGGTGGGGGTTTTTTAAAAAAAATTGCCGTGGGGCAAATGAATTTCCTACTGATGTGGACTGATATAAGTTGTGGAAATTCATTAGCCCCACGGCAATTTTTTTTAAAAAACCCCCACCCACCCTTTTTAAAAATGTTTTTTCAACCCAAAATTGCAATATTTTTCATCCCGTTTCGTCCAATGAAATGGCTAGTTTTGAAGTTCGTTTTTAATTTGTTAGTTATGTTTTGTCGGATTGCTATAAAACATCAGTACTTGTCGACGAAGTACATTTTAATCATCATTATGGAGGACAGTAACGTGCCTAGTACAAGCGCTGTTGTTTCTCACGTAACAGAAATAGAGGAAGTCTTTTTGACAACGTTGTTTCTCGTTGCGTTCCCATCGATTGAAGCGTTGAAGTCCGCTATCACAAATTATGAAAGATCAACTTACTGTCATTATGTAGTTCGAGATTCGCATTTGTGCAGAAATGAAAACTCGTACATTAAATTTGTGTGCTGGAGACATGGCCGTATAACATCTAGCGGTTCGTCACAGCGGATCAGACGGAGGAGGTAATTTTATAAATGTTATTAACATTTTTTGTCATGAAGGGCTTCCATGAACACTGAATGTCCGGCCTTCATGTATTGTAAGATTATCGACGGCTACTGGACTGTTGTACGTGGGAATGTGCATCACAATCACGAGTGCAATTCCCTAAGGTACCAAGGAAATTCATGGGTGCGCAGGTTAACAGAGGCCCAGTTTGAAAATGTGCGACCGCTGCTAATATCTGGTACTGCTTCATTCCACATTAAGAATTATGCTTACCATTCTTATGGGAAACTACTGACTGATCAAGATATCTATAATATGCGGTACAAAGTGTTCTCACAGGCGAACATTCCTGGTAAGCCATTTGCCAATTTATAATGTAAACGATAGGTGATTACGGGAAATTGAAAGCGCACATAACATCTTTGGGTGGGCGATGCGAATACGAATTAGACGATGAGAACTGTCTATCGTACTTTTTCTTCAGCACTGGTGATCAAAAGATTTTTGCAGACCGTTTCGGTGATGTTATTGGTTTGGACGGAACATACAAGACGAATAACGAGAATATCTATTTATATCAGGTCGTAGCCCTTGATATGAATTTGAAGGCGATACCCGTTTGTATTGCATTTATAAGTCGCGAAACATCGACTTTGATTTCTCGATTCCTGTCGTTCTTCCAACGGTTAACCAACAGTCGACAGGTGGTAGGCATTGTGACAGATGATTCACCTGCAATAGCTGCTGCCATCATGCAGGTGTATCCCAATGCTCACCATATCTTGTGTCGCGTCCACCTTGTTCGCAATGTTATAAAGAGGGTAAGTGTTTCGTTCATTAACATTAACCCAGTAACCTTAATTGTAGAGGGTACGATCAGAAGTGATACAACTATTTTTTCGCCTGATGTTTACTCAAACGGTTGAAAGGTAAATCAAAAGCAACATAACATTATTTTGTAGTTTTAACAATGTATTATCCTTGATCGAAATATCGGACGGAACGTTTGCCCGATATGTCAGAGACCACCTATTACGAGAAAACACAAATGGTCTACAGCTTTTCGACCATCAGCAACGCTACTTCAACTCAATAATACGAACTTTGTTGAGACAAGTCACCGAATTTTGAAGATGCATCAACTGAGTCGAAAAACACCTGTGCTGAGATCTATTTTTAGTGTGCTACTTCGCGTTGGATATTGGATGGAAGCAAGATTACAGAAATATACATCAGATTGCCGGGTAAAAGCCAACATCGGCCAAGAGCCAGCAATGCGTGGACTTCAGGAACGACTGACACCAGCTGCATGTCAGGTACTGAGGCGGCACTTGCGCACTCCTTTGACGGAGTTTGTAATGTCTGCTGACTTATTCACGGCTGTGGACGCAACAGGAACTTTACAACGCCGTTGATGCATCGAGGAAATGTCGATTTGGATGAAACGTTAAGTAACGACGAGGATGACGTAGTTTCTATAAACTCAGAAGAGTTAACAGAACGGGACATCCAAAATGAAGAAGATGAAGAGAACCGTTTGTGTGACATCTGTAATCTTGCACAGCCGCCCTATGAAACTGGTGATGAAGTGGGTTGGGTTTTCTGTCCTTGTGAAGCTATGTTTCATAGATTCTGTGCTTATGACCCATCACCGAACGTACGAGCAGTACACTGTCCGATGTGTGGCGCCATTACCAACTAATAGTTTGGACGTCCCACCGCGAGAACGATTAAAGGCCCTTTTCAGGGCCACCCACAAATTGATTTAAAGGCATTTTTCCCAATATTGTTTTTGTCTTTGGCAAAGGTCAAGTGATTAAGCACTTTTTAATGTCGAATGCATTTCGATATACCTTAGATATTAATAATCGATAAGCGATTATCGCTCATGTATTCGTAAACTTGTTTCTAATGTATAATACATATAAAGGTTAAGAAAACAGACAAGATTTTGTCATTTTATGAACACTTATCTAATAATTTTAGATTTAAAATAATGTGATTACCGTTCATGTCTTAGTAACATATTTGTAAACTATCTAATACTAGTACATTTTAATAGGAATATTTTAATATAGTGAAAATCGTAATTTTGTCGTTAGGTCAATAAATTTAGTAGTGAATATAATAAGATAATTACAAAGATGAATGTGATTAAAGCTCATAGAGAAGTAAACAAAATTGAGAAAATTATCTTCTTTATGAATAAAATAATGACATTATAAAACAAGTTGAAACCATCAACATTGAAATTATTAATCCGATTAAAAGGTCATATAGTAAGTGTTAAAAGAAATAAGAATATTAGCTGTTTCATGAATACAAAATGCAAGAATTTCATATTCCGGTTTTATATTAAAAGTACCTGAAACCAGAACTATGCGTACGTATGAATTACGTCCGATCGTCAACTAAGCCTTCATTGTTATTCATAACTACTGATTATATCACCGTATTCATTTGCACACCCATATAACTATTAATTACTGGTACAATCACACTATACAGTTATAAGTCCATAATTTCCATATTTTATAAAGGCCAAAAATATGGCATGGCATTAATGAATTTGACAATGTAATGTGTTAACAATGGTGAACGTTTACATCTGTTACGATATATATATTTATATATATACTTACAAATTGTAATATTTGCAAATTAGAAAGGTCATTCAATAAAGGTCTGGATTATTTGCAGTAAAGTGTTCAGTCACAATAAGTGGAAGAGCATTATAGGAAAATTTAAAATGCAAAAAATTTTGTGTCAATGAAATGCATAGTAGGACAATTGAATCTTGTCAATTGACATAATAATAATAATAATAATAATAATAATAATAATAATAATAATAATAAGGAAAATAAATAATAATAGAATTGTAAATGTTCATTGATACAGTTGACCTTATTCATATTTATACGTTTAAAGTCGATAGATATTTGTTGAGTCAGTCAGACGACGTAGGCTTGTTCATTTACACTTCATGAAACTGATATTTCAAATGCTTGTCAAAAATGGTTACATTCATAATGTCTAGATATAGTTCAGGTTTCATATTACGGCGGTTAACAATATTCACACATGACTGATTAAACACACTAGTTTTTATTACGACCAAAAAATTAATTTTAAAATACAGAACTACAAATAATTTACAAGTGAAAACAATAAACCGTTTCAATGGACTTTTCAAATTAACCACATTTAAATCTAACGTTTTCTAATTCTCATTAAGAATGAACATTTACAAAAAAACGTTCACTAAATATTAAGTGTCTATTTCGGTTAAATTTATTACTACATTCATATACTGTCAAAGTCAGTTCATTCAATGATGGTCTACGGTTGCTTCACCTGAATTATAAATATTGCAACCAGTAAGTTATCATAATGATTTATTGATATGTTGATTTGTTTCTCGAACTAACAGACCATGTGTTACCAAAAAACCTATGCATACACTTTAGTGATAATTTGTTTATTAATTTGGTATTAAAGATTTGACTACCGACCTCATTCAGTAATCACTATTATCAAATATTCAAACCGGTTTTCAGTTGCTTTTTTCCAAAAACTTTCTTTTTATGTGATATATATAAGTACTCGTGACATTAAAATTGTTGATCGGAAATCAAAAATTTATCCCAATACACATTCACTAACAGTAGGATTGCACTTAAGTTGGTGTTTTTTTCTATAAATGTCTAAATTTCTTACAAGACTAAGATTACACAAAAAGATTTATTCATTATCGTTAAATTTCAAATGTAAAAATCAAAATTCTGACATCCAATCACAGCTCTAGATACGATTTCAATTTCAACTAATCACATTGCAAAGATGAACAGTTTACGACCAATTACAAAATTATTAAAGGTGACAAAATGTTTGTTCATTATCACTTGAGCACACACTTGCAAAACAAGTACACCAATCACCGATCGCTAAATTTTTCTTTGACACCATACATTTTTTTAGAAATGGGTGGTAGGGAATCTTAATTGCCGTGGGCAAAATGTCAACCTAAGTTGTGTGTATCACCGATCAAAAGAGGAAAGCCTGGCAGCAGAATCTTAATAAGATGGAAAGGAAGAAAACGAGAACAGTGAGTGATCGGTTGTGGAAATGAAAGGACAATGAAGTCTGAGAGAATCAGTGGATAGTTTGCAAATGGAATATTTACTGTATTGTTCTCAGATTTCACCATGATATTCTGTAATGTGCATTGAGACGCATTTGGCTGACCCCATAGAAACGAGAGTCTTTCGATATTTTTCAGTTAACATTCGTTTTCATTCTCATCAAGGTAAATGCATAACAACACATTTTATGTATTGTATGACAATATATTATTCACATACCAATGAATAGAAACTCAAGTTTTCGACGACTGATGGCCTGGAGTAAGCGGCTTTCTCGAAAAGTAAATAACATTTTTCAGGTTAATTTAAGTTTGACTAATACAATTATTAAGTCTCTTTCTTCGGCCTTGTATTCTGGGACGCTTTATTTCTCTGGGCTAACTATTAAATCAAAACACGATATGAACAAAAACGTCGATATATTTCGTTTGCAAACAGAGAATTAATTCAGTGAAGTAAAAAATGTCATTTTATACATGAATTTCACACAGGAAAATTTTTATAGTTTTTTTAAATTTACCTACCAGTGTCGATCAGTTGAAAATTGACCTACTGCTGTGCCTCAACGGCATCTTCTCTAAAATGTGCTTTGATCAGGCCTCCGTCCTGTTGACAACAATTCCTGAATAGAAAAGAATATTTATTACATACGACGGATTCTTATGAATGTTTCTGTCATGTCAATGGTTGTATATCTTCGACCAGTCCATGATCTACGTAACATTCAGCAATCCTCACGTACTCAAAACTGATAATCTTCATGTGACCAACTTTGAGAAGAGATTTCAAGAAAGACCAGCTAATTTCATCTGTGACGAGTATGTGGAAGGCACCTACGAAAAACAAAGAAAGATGGTCGCGCAATGTCATGAATTGATTGAATCTAGATATTTACACCTTTGAATGTTCGTTCATTGATCCAAAGGCTAAGCATTCATTCACGCGACCGAACCTCCTGTGTTCGACTCTCGTTTATGGAGTTTTACTGACTCATTATCTGATTCCAGTTATATCGTAGGATGATTTTTACTGAAATATACATGTTGCCCATCCTCATATGTAGTTATTGACATAGTGAATAATGGAATAAATTAGGTTAAGTACGAGAATGGATGTTGAGTGCGTATATTTCGTTGAGCGGAAAGCGAAGCGAACCCAAATGACGCTCAATGGAGAAGATGAGTGAGCCAAATCTACTTAAACAAGCGTGAATTGATATTTGTAGTCAGACAAAAATAAGTACAGACATGTGATGAGTAAGAAGTGAGCACACATACGCTTAAATAAAACAGTCAAGGTAGATAAGTGAATAAGTGACAAGGCCAGAATGAAGGTGGAGAAGAATGGATAAACTTGTTCGTTCAGAAGCTAGAATAACATATGTGTACTTGACATAGGGCCAGCCATTACAGAGTCACTCATAGAAATCGAAGTTGAGGACTATTGAGTCTATCGAAACGTCCGAATTACCCAATTAAGATACTCTCAAAATCGAAGTTCGCAAAACAACTATTTCTCGAAAAAAGCGGTTTTTTATTTAATAATATACAAAAATTAGTTACGAATCTCAACTTGTGTGATATCTGCGACGTTTCATGCATGTTTTTGTTGAAATAAATAAGGCTTTCTGTGATAGTAACAAAGAATAATAATAACATGCGCTAGTGCAAAAGACAGCTGTTAGCTGTGTCTAAACTTGGTAACAGTTTTTCAACAAGCGAAAACCGAATCAAGAGCCAACAATATGGGAACCGTTGAGTTTATTTATGAGTTAAATAAATACGCGAAATTGTAAATAACTGCGTACGCTCAACTTCAAGACTAGTGGAATTGAACCGAGTCTGTTGTGAGGCAGTTACTCACTGAAAATAATGGTGCACGGTCGCCCAATATCGTGGGTTCAGTGTTTTAGAGTTTAAGCGCTTGAGCGCAAGAACGAAGGTTCTGGATTCGAGTATCTTGTACGCGGTCGTGGATGCGCACTGCTCATCAGTCTCATACTAAGACGAGACATTCATTCATTAACGTTTGAACTTATTTACGCACACAGATGAACTCGATAAAATAGATAAATGACAGAGTCGTGGCAAAAGGATGTGTACAAATAAATCCGATCACTGATTGTGATAAGCAACAAGCAGTTTTACGGATAACTAAAGTTATGGTAATGAATTCGTCATTTTTGTAGTGAAACTGTTGATTTGATTAGAGTTTTGTTTCTTCTATTCAGAAGCGAAACCTTGCTACTGTTTAACTTTGTATCAAATTTCATATATATACCAACTTCATCAATTATCGTATACGTTCCAATGTGGGTACTAACAGTACTCGACTCCCAAACACGGAAAATAACCGTCAATTAATTGGAAAATAAAAGTGATTTTTACTTCACTTTGTGGTAATTCAGAGTAATCGTAACACTATAGAAAGTAGAAAGAAAAAATTAAGTTAGTCTGTGTGTGACATTGTTGTATGTTATCGTCTCCCAATCACCGTTTGAATCATTCACAATCATTCAATAGCTAGTGATAA